ATATAGAACATCTGCTTCAATTTTTTTCTTCACTTTCTCACATTTTTTATTGTATGTCTTTCACGTCCTTAGATTTATTCCAAAGTATTTTAATTTTCTGAGGCTATTGTGAATGGGACTGTTTCCCCAATTTCCTTCTGAATATGTTTGTTGTTTATATATAGAAATGTTGCGTTCTCTCTCTCTCTCTCTCTCTCTCTCTGTGTGTGTGTGTGTGTGTGTGTGTTAATTTTGTTTCCTGCTACTTTTCTGAATTGTTTATCAGATGTAGGAAATTTGTGGTTGAGTCTTTAATATGTTGAGATATGGACTTTGAATCCCTAAATTCTCTGCACGGTTTATCATGAAAGGATGTTTGGTTTTGTCAAAGGTCTTTTTGTATCTAATGAGATGGTCAAGATGGTCCTGTTTTCTTTAATGATATGACCCCTGGTAGGTCAGCCACACTCCAGGGTAGGCTCATTCTCAAGACTAGTCTGGTAACACAAACTGGACTTGATGGGGGTGAAAATGAGGAGACTCAACATTGTGTAGCTAAGGAGGAAAGAGGGTGGATAAAGTATATAGAGGAGGAGCTAAGGGAGGGGATAAAGATGATCAAAGTACAGATATTCTCAAAGAAAAAGTAAAATATTAGAAATTAAAAACCATACAGTGGACTATTGCTCAGCCATATAAAAGACTTGTAATACTAACCTTTTGTTACTATAATGAAATGTTCTAGACTGTGTAACCCTATCTGGAAGCTTTACATATAATAGCACATCACTAGCTCTGGAGAAGAAAGGCCTTGTTGCTGGAAGTGCTGAGATGGTGCATGGCATCCATCACATGGCAAGAAAGGGAAAGCACACATCTGTGTCTGCATCTTATTCTCCATGTTGTCAGTCTCTTCCCCTCTCAACTCTCCTCTTCTTCTCTCTCCCCTGATTTTCTGGTTCTCCCTCTCCTTTTGATGACCCTCACTAGTAATCAGTGGGGTTTTCCCTAATGGCTTTATCTAATCCTAATCACCTCCCAATGACCCTACCTTGAAACATACTAGAATCAAGTTTTTCCATATTTTGTATCTCACAAGGGGGATTAGCTTTTGGCATGTAAATTATTGGGGTGCATACACAAACCATATCAACACCAGAGAGACAGTAGTATACTAATACAACTTGGATAGATGTTGGGAACGTGCTGAAAAAAGAGAGAGAGACCTGCTATGAATAGCCAGGCTTCTTATCCCAGCAGCTCCAAAGTCTGAAGCAGAGAATTGCTGTTGATGGACACTTGTATCCTAAGTGGGTAAATGTGCAGCATTTTTAACAGAGGTCATCGCAAATAAGTATATACACATTGCACAGGAGCCACAGTTTCGATTCTTCTTCTTGCCTATCATGTGTCTTAAACAGAGTGAATGTTCAAAAACGAAAACGTTCTAATTCTAATATAGTCTTCTGCATGTTGCTTGTGAAGTATTCAACTCACAGTCAGAGAAAAGCACTTCAAGAAGCATTTTGAAGTAGCATAAGGCTGGTATGTGTAGTTTTGTCCAAAAATATAAAATAATTAGAAGATATTTAAAATATAAACTGACAACAGATAATGTGACAATAAGAAAAAATGAGAGCCAGGCGTTGGTGGCCCACACCTTTAATCCCAGCACTTGGGAGGCAGAGGCAGGCAGATCTCTATGAGTTCGAGGCTAGCCCAGTCTACAAAGCGAATGCCACGATAGGCTCCAAAGCTACACAGAGAAACCCTGCCTCGAAAAACCAAAAAAAGAAAAGAAAAGAGAGAGAGAGAGAGAGAGATGATAACAATGTTGTTGAATTTCTCGCATATAAAACAATTAATCTTTACTAAAGGAGTGGATATAGGTCCACTGTGAGGATCGATTCCTAGAGAGAAGAACCAGGGTTTCTGGAGAAATATAGACAAATAACAGAAAGCCATAGTTCTATTTTTATTGAGTTGGTTTTTTTTCTGTGTAGTCCTGGCTGTCCTGAAACTCACTCTGTAGACCAGGCTGACCTTGAAGTCAGAGATCTGCTTGCCTCTGCCTCGAAAGTGCTGGCATTAAATGCATGTATCACCACGTGGCATGATAGTACTATTTTCATTTCCACTTACATGAAAGTTTTGTTCACCTGTTTCTATCACAATTAAGTGATCTCTGTCAAGGAGGTTCTAATTCTATACTCGAGTAGGATGTACACACATATCCAATAGATGGTAATGTGTGTTATAAAAGAATGTTAGAATTGTTCCAAGAGGTCCTGGGGAGATAGCTTTGTTGATAAAGTGCTTACTAGCCAAGCACAAAGACCCAGGTTCCATCCACAGCACCCACATAACAAGCCAGATTCAGCAGTGCTTGCTTGTAATCCTGTCACTGGGGAAACAGACAGAAGATTTCCTGGAGACCTACTCTTTCAGCTAACCTTGCCTGATCATGAGCCCCAGACCCCAGTGAGGCACCTGCCTCAAAACACAAGGTAAATGACTCTTAGGAACTACAACTGATGTCGACTGCTGGCTTACACACACACACACACACACACACACACACACACACACACACACACACACACACGAGTGTTACAAAAATTCAAAGTAGCACTCAAGCAGAATTTAAATGTGCATTGTTAAAAAAGAGAAGGTCATTGTGGTCAAATGGGTCACAATAAGAAATCACCCAGCAATTCAGTTTGTCTAGTGTTTATGAAGGAAGTGGTGGGAGATAAAGTTAGGTCCAAATTATATACCCCAGCTCTGCCACTTAGCATCTGCAGACAGTCAATTATAACCTCTTCCTGATAGCCCCTTAAAAGCAGTTAAGATAATGTTGCCATCCGCCTTCCAACTGAGAGAATCAGATAAGGTTTCGTACACTGAATAGTATAGAGGTTCCTTGTGTTTTGGCATGGGAAGGCTTGATTGTCCAGTTAAGTCATTTAAATTTTTATGTTATAGAGAACAACAGATAAAAAATTTTAAAAGGGAATTGCATAAGCTGGGCTTTAGGATGAGCTGCAGAGAAAACAGGTCATAGGAAGCTATTGCAACAATCCAGAAAGGCAACGATAGCCTCAACCCGCATGATGGTAGTTTAAGTCACCATATAAAACTGTAAAAATTGCCAACGGTTTGATGATGTTGATACCAGTAAGAAACAGGAGAGAAGAAACATGCTTGAAGGAAAAGGTGAAGAGTCTGTTTAATACATGCCAAGTTAGAGATACCATTGGGACCTCTGGGAAGTTGTAAATTCAGTATTGGGGTTTAGAACTTAGAAGAATGTGGGGAGTTTGCCTTCCCATATGTTGGAGTCAACAGGTTGTCTGAGATTACTAAAGGGAAGGAGCATAGTCAAAAGTGGAAATAGTTATGAACAGACCCTTAGAGTTGGGCAAATGAAGATCAGACAAATAATACAACTTTATTTACCTTTCATAAAACTTGTTTTTGCCTTTCCTTGTTTTTTTAAGACAGCCTCAGTCTATAGCCTCCCCTCCCCTAAAGGCCTGTAGCCCAGGCTGACTTCAAAGTCCTATCAGTCTTCCTGCCTCAGTTCCCCAAATGCTGAGATGAAAGGGCATGACACTATGTCCAGCTTTTCTTTCTGTGTAGTAATATATCAACTGCTGAAAGATCACACAAGAGCTTTTGAGATGGCAGGCCAGTTTGGGTTCTGGAAAACTCATAGAGTGTTACAAGAGGTTATGGTTAAGATATCCCATAGTTGCTCCCTGAAACCACAGAGATAAGGGCTGCCTTCGGGTTCTCTATGGAGGCTAATTACATACCTGATCCTTTCTCATCGAAAGTTCAACAGCTGATTTTTATCTTGGCATCTGGTGGTCACCTAGAGAGAGGGTAATTACAAGAAGGAAAATGGCATTCCAACCCTTCTACCTATTGAAAATCGCTATGGCTTTCACTGGCACCAGCTGTTTTGATAGATTCTTCACCCATTAGTACTTGTAGCATCCAGAAAAGGAAGGTGATTTGAGACCATGATCCTGGGTTTCTCTGAAGAACAAAGGGAGCTCCAGTTTGTGCCTGATCAAGTGAAGTTGTTTGTCACAATGGGGAAATGACTTGAACTGACTGCTTTTCTTTCTTTGTTTCTAACTGGGGCCTTGTGTTTTAATTAACTTTTACAAGGGAATAGTGGGCAATAGCCATAATCCACTTGGCTGGCAAGGAACTGTATGGAGTTCTACTGCGATATAAAAATGTACTAAGACTTTGATAATAGAGGGTTTTGTGATACTTTAAAAATAACGAGCTGGCTTTATTCTCTGCATACACTGTTAGGCTTTTTTATGACCCTTTATTCTATCCTGTTTAAGACTGTGTGTGTGTGTGTGTGTGTGTGTGTGTGTGTGTGTGTGTGTGTGTGTGTGTGTGTGTGTGTGTTTGGCTCTTGTTTTCCTCTATTTGCTTTTAGGAAGTTTCACAGCTAGGCTGATATTTAAAATTCATTTTTAAAAACATTTTACCAAGGTCAGCCTCCTCTTGTTTTATTCTTATGCTGACCCTTAACACCTGCCTATCAACTTTATTTCTCCCTTACCAACATTTGCCAGTTCATCCAGTTGCGAGAGTGAAGGGGCTGAAACACTTGGGGGCGGGGTCTGAGTTGTTGTACTACCTTGTTAATGTAACAATGTACATTAGACTGCATAAGTTTACAAGAAAAAATGTTTGTTCAGCTCACAGGTCTAGAGATTCAAGGGCACGGTGTGGCACTGCTATCACCTTGGCTCTGGTGAAAGCCTTATGTTGGGTGGGATCACAGGGTTAGGGTTGTGTTCGAGACAAAGCCATTACATCTTTTATGGCATCTGATTTTCTTAAAATTCCACTTTGACTATTAACATTGACACGCTAGGGACAGTTTCCAGCACACTCTCAGGAGTGTGCTTGAGGAGGGAATCTGTAGAATAAGAATATTCTACAATCTGTACTGTGACAACCTACGATTTGATTTCTTCTTTTTGCAGTAAGTACAAATTGATCCTAGGTGAGGAGCCTGTGGAGAAACGAAGGCGATTCCAAAATGACATGACACCATCTCCTATAGACTATTCTATGTCCAGTCCTTACAGGAGGGTAGACGCAGCTATTGCCTACCCAGAAGGAGAAAACAGCCATGATAAATCCAGTTCGGAAAGAAGTACACCACCATACCTCTTACCAGAATACCCAGAAGCAAACAAGAATGCAGGACAGAACAGGGAAGCTGCAACACTTTCTCCAGGGTCCCAGGACCAAGACCAGGAATCCCTGCTTCCTGAAGAATTAGAAGATCAGATGCCAAAATTGGTAGCAGAAGAATCTAACAGAAGTATGGAGAACATAAACAAAGAAGTGAATAAAGGGCCTTTTGTAGCTGTAGTCGGTGTTGCAAAGGGACTTACAGATTCAGGAGCTCCCATCCAGCTAATCCCTTTCAACAGGGAGGAGTTTGTAGGGAGAAGAAAGGCAGCTGAATCATGGAACCCAAATCCTTATTCTTCTGTGGCCTCTGCCACAGCCACTCCAGGCAAAGGAAAGGGCTGCCAGGAGAGTGGAAGTCGTAACATGCCAAAGATAAAGAACCAGAAAGAACTGGAAGAACTGAAGAGAACCACGGAAAAACTGGAACGTGTTTTGGCTGAAAGGAATTTGTTCCAGCAAAAGGTTTGGGCACTGCCTTACCACTAGGGATAAGAAGAGGTCATTGTTACCAAGGGACTAGGGCATTGGTTCTCAACCTTCCTAATGCTGCGACCCTTTAATACAGTTCCTCATGTTGTGGTGACCCCCAACCATAAAATTATTTTGTTGTTACTTCATAAGTGTAATTAGCTACGGTTTGAATCGTTAGGTAACTATCTGTGTTTTCTGATGGTTTCAGGCTACCCCTGTGAAAGGGTCATTTGAAATCCTGATGGATCGCAACTTACAGGTTGAGAACCACTGAACTAGGGTGTTGATATTTTAGTGGTTTATACTCTGAAGCTTTTAAATAGAATACATTATTAAATTAGTCTGTGGTATGTCTCAGATTGAGTGGACCCTAATGGGCTTTCCCTCTGTATTTTAGGTTTGACAAGAGATTTGCATAAGTGTAATAGAACATTATAAAGAATGTAACCACAGGGTAGATTTAGTAGGAACGGTTTGGCATATTCTACCTTTTGACTTTCTCTTTCTTGAACTGCAGGTGGAGGAGCTGGAACAGGAGAGGAACCATTGGCATTCTGAATTTAAGAAAGCTCAACATGAGTTGGTGACCTATAGTACCCAGGAGACAGAAGGCTTATACTGGAGCAAGAAGCACATGGGCTATCGCCAAGCTGAAATCCAGATTCTGAAAGCTGAGCTAGAAAGAACCAAAGAGGAGAAGCAGGAACTAAAAGAGAAACTGAAAGAGACAGAGACACACCTGGAAGTACTACAGCAGGCCCAGGCCTCCTACCGGAACCCAGAGGGAGATGACCTAGAAAGGTTAATTACTAGGGTTTAGTTATCAGCTTGTGAGGACTAATGGGAATTACCCACTAAGACCCCCCCGCTTACTGGTCATAGACAAGGGAGAAAATCTTAATTCATTGACCACCATGGATTGAGTAATTATTTCTTAGAGAGCCGCAGCCAGTCCCCCTGTGTTTGATGGCATGGTGCTATCTGCCTCCTTTCTACCTAATGGAGACATAATTGTTAAGAAATGTAGGCCCATTTTGAAGGGACTTCATTTTATTCTGTTGGCTAATGACTTCATGTCATCTCTTCTCCTGCCCCCTCACTCCATCATACAGGGCTTTGGCAAAGCTTACGCGGCTACGTATCCACGTCAGCTATCTCCTTACTTCTGTCCTCCCTCACTTGGAGCTTCGTGAGATCGGGTATGACTCAGAACAAGTGGATGGGATCCTGTACACAGTGCTGGAGGCAAATCACATACTGGATTGAGCACCAGACTATATATCCTCTCCTCGCTTTCTTTTCTGTTTTCTGCTTGTGTTCTGTGCTGTGTCCTCCCCTATCTTCTCTCTGCTGCTTCCTTCCCTTCTCCCTTCTGATCCACCCCAGCCTCTTTCTCTTTCACCTGTATGCCTTATATCGAGAATCCTTGAGTAAGTCCTGATTCTTAATCAGTGTGCTTCGCATTCAGTGTGGGTGTGGAGAAAGAGGCCCTTTAAATAGCCTTTTAAGAGTCGAGGAAAGCAATGGTCACCCAGTTAGGTGGCCCAAAAGCTCTAATTTTCATGATCTAGATACTTGGCCTATATCATGTTCTGATGGTAGTTCATATTCAGGTTAAATCTGTCAGCAAGTGTTGGGTCCAATGTACCTGGTAGGGTAAATGATGCTTATAGCCCGGCCAAGGTTCTGACAATCTAGTTGGAAGCACGAGTGACAGCAAGTTAACTAACTCTACAAAGAAGGGTATGGTGTGTATGAGTGGTGTAAACATGACATAGAAGATAAAGGAGAGCAATTTAAAGGAAGGCAGTATACCCTAAGTGGGACCTAAATGAAACTTTAAAGAGTGAACATGACAACACTCTCAGTGGTGGTTGTTTAAGTGGTAGGATTATGGTCGATAGTTTTTCTTCTTCCTATCTTCTTGCCCTTTCAAATTTTCTATAACATTCTTGTTATTCTTCTTACATTGGAAAATAAATTGTTTTGAAAGCTAACAAGTAGGCTTGAATTTGGATGTCAAATGAAACATTAATGAAAGTATAAAATTATTTTACATTTATAATTTATGTTGAGTTTAACATTGCCTCTGCTGAGACAGTGTAAGCAAATGTGCAAAAAATCCAGAATGTGAAAAATGTGTTTGGTAAGAGTGACAGGTCAGTGTAAAAGGAACCCACCAACCAACTCACTAATTCTCCTTGGTGTTTTTATTTTAATAACAGATATGTGAAAATAAATATATAAGGATCAAAGTTTTTATGTATCACCACATTGTTAAATTTCAGGTATCGGGGAAATATTTTAGATTAGAAAGATTTACTTGCCATCCCTTGCGGTACAAACTCTCTAGGCTATCAGAGTGAGAGGAAGACCTCAGAGTACAGAAATAGTACATCTTATACTCATGTAAATAAGGTGTTTTATGAATCCATTGCTTTATTATTTTTATGTAGATATACTTAAAGGTACTCCTGAAACGTCATTGTACAGTGAAATATATATATATATATGTACATATATATACATACACACACCTACCTATGTATATGTGTGTCTCAGCATTGAGAACTAGGAAATAGAGGATAGGAATAATAAAAGGAAGGGGAATTCACCAGCAGTAAAAGGATTCTCTAGTACAGACAAAACATTTTGGATAATTATTCTGTGTTTCTCAGTATATGTACTTCAGACTGTCCCAGGGATACTATAGCTCCTTTGTTGGGAGGCCCATCATAAATAGATATCCCTGTGGGTCTGGAGAATGTGGGGAGGCCATAGCCAGGCTTCACCATTAGAATAGTACTTAACCACACCCCTGCTCCTACCACTCTACCTCACCCCTGCTCTAGCATTAACTTCCGTGTTTGACATCCGCATCAGTATATCCAAGGCCTTGCTAGTCTAAATGGGATTATTAACAAGGGAAGAATAGCACATGGGATTATGTTCTCAGTTATACTTGTTTGTCAGACAGGGACTGGAAGGGGTGAGATTTTGCATACATGAGAATAACGTAAGTGGGAGCCCAGGAGAGGAGGGATTTTAGCGAATGGAAAGTTCAATCTGTGTAGCTATTTGTTGGATGAATGGGGGAAGGCAGATAATGGAGCTCAAAAGGGGAAGAAAGATTGAAAACTTAACTCATCTTTACCGGTGCCTCCTGTCTAACTGTTCATGTCCTGTCAGCCTGTGGTTTTGAACCCACGCTGCTTCTTCCATTAACACTCACCTGTGTTAGTCTATCTACTCCAGTAATGGAGCGACTACTTTGTTACCTATTTACCCTGACATCATACAGATGCCCCCACAAGAACCCCTGGCTATGTATACTTTGTTTCAGCAGCCTTTCATCATTGAGACCTCTCTGGCTTGGTTTCCTACTGGAAGCATGTCAAGCTGTCAACTAACTGCGGAGGCTACACTAGTACTCTGCCCTCTGAAACATGCTTTCACCTTACCACAGTAAAAGGGTTCTCTAGTTACAGACAAAATGCCTTGAAAGCTGACCCATCATAGATAAATATTCCCAGGAGTCTTGATTTTGTGTTAAATCCCACTGTGTAGAGACTGGAGTGTTGCCCATCCTTACCAGAAGCCATGATCTGGTGTGAAAGCAGGCACTTCCAATAAAGAAAACACAGATGCCTCCCCCTAGCTTTCCTCTGAGATTAACATAAATCTTGCCAATGTTTCCCTTTACCACAGTTAGCATGTAGGTACTTGTCATCTCATCCCTTGATGATTGAAATTGATTCTTAATTGGCCTCCCTGTCCTCCTAGTCTCATCACTCAATACACACTTCTTAATATCACCCAGTAGCTCTTAGCAACTTTATCAGGTCATGTCTCTGCTCAAAGATTTGCTATTGCTCTCTTATGCCCACAAAATGTTATTCAAATCCCTTAGCATGATTCTCAAGCCCTGTGTTGTGTGGGGTACCCTCTGCTGTGCATTCATCTTCCAGCAAGCCAAACACAAGCTCTACTCCACTCATATGGAACTCCTTTTCAATTTCTGAATGCACCTTAAGATTTTTGGCCTCTGCCTTTGCTAGTCCACTCCTGGAATGTTCTCCTTAATCATCTTTCCTTTGGTTCAAATGCCAACTTGTTTCTGAATATTCCTCTAACCTGGGAAGGCATGAAATTTTAAGCCTTGTGTCATTTGTTAGACTTGTGTCATAAACTTTCTGATTCTGCTTTCCCTATTAGAAAGCTCCAGATTGATATTCAACTGCCTACTTGACATTTACACTTATATATCTCGCAGACATTTCAAGTAAATCATGCTAAAAATAAACAGCGACATACCCCAGGACTTTTCCTCCCCCACAGTTTCTTCATGTTAGAAAATGGCACTTCCTCCCACCCAGTTGCTTAAGCTAGAAACCTGGAAGACATCCTTAATTCCTTGCCTCGTTCCCTATATCCAGTCTGTCTGTTGTTTCTATTTCCAAAGTATAACCTTGACTCTAAACTAAACTAATCTAAACTAACCTTAATCTAAACTTAATCTAACTAAATCTAAACTCCCATCATTCCTTTGCTTGGATCACAATGGCTAATGAGACCTTGGATTTTCTCTTGTGTTCACAATTGTCTTAGCACTAGATGTGATGTGTTTTCTAAAAAAAATAAAATACAAACCAAATCATGTGACTCTGCTTAAAGGCAATAACTCTCATTTCATTTAGAGTAAAACTGACCCCCGTGACAATGTCCTACAAGACCCCTGCCTACCTCCTAATTTGTCTCAGTGATATTTAGTCATTTACTACTTCACATAACCCTCCACACACATACACTTGGCTTCTGGCTGAAACATATCAAGCTCCCTCTTAAGCTCAGAGCCCTCACCTAGATTGTGCCTTCTCCTGAGATGTTCTTCCCCAATTCTATCTTACTAGAATGTTGTGTATCCAGTCTTGGCATGGTTCACTCTTCTTGCTTCTATCTTCCTTGTAGATATGCCTTGTGTTTTTTTTCTCTATTTATATTATATTATCTTCCCACAGTTTCCTTGTTTTGTTTCTAGTTCATAACAAGGTTATATACCTACTGATTTTCATTCATTCAACAAATATTCATTGGGCACCTACTATGTGCTGAGTGATACCCAGTGGTGAATATAACACACAATGTTCTTATAAACCTGTTTTAATAAGTTCAATAAGGTCATGCTTGGTTTGCTAACCGCTGTATCCTACTGCTTATCATAGTACCTGGGATATAGTAAATAAGCAATAAATGATTCTTAATGGTTTAATGATGGAATTGTGTTTTGTTCATATCTCCATCTCAGTGTTCTAAAACAATGTCCCATTCATTGAAGAGGGTAAATAAGTGAGGTATATAAATGAAATACCGATACAGTAGGTGCTGCAAGCTATTGGAGTGGGGCCCCTGTGAGTACCCTGGTGTTGCACTTTAGCAACTCTTCAATATGTGAAAGAAAAAGAAGGGGGATGGGTGTTCTTCACACAAACTACCTGAATAGATACCGAGAACTACAAAATGTAACCAGGAGACTGCTCTACAGACCAGATCTTGACAGTAAGAACTAAACAGAAAAATATTTCTAAGAACTCTTCAGTCTTTTCAAGAGTGATGGTGGTTCATTTCAGTTGTAACAATGAGGAGCTATCCACAGGTTAAGAACAGAGCAAGTTTCAAGGAAATGAGTTCCAGGTAGGTGTTAGGTCGGTGAATACTTGTATGGACATATGGGCACCCAGATGATGACCAGACCAGTGATCTTGTGACACCAGAGTTCAAGAACATTTGTTTGCCCATGACTATAGCTTGCACATTGTCTGTCTTAACAATTTAGAGGAAGAGGCTGTGTTCTTAGTTCCCAGGGGCAATCTCAAGATGAAACAAGTTTCAGAACCCTGTACTGTGAATTAAAGTCCCTTTCTGTAGCACTACATTAGGAGTGGAAATTAGCAGTCTTCTCAAGAATCCTGTGTTTTAGGTCAGGTTAAGGCAAGTACGATTTCCCCTAAAGACAGGCATATTTCCTGAGGGCCACCTTACCTCATGGTTTATGTCATGAACCATGAGATCTGATTCAAAAGTCACTATGGACTGGAGAGATGACTCAGTGGTTAAGAGGACTTGCTGCTCTTGCAGAGGTTCAGTCCCCTGTAACCATACTGGGGAGCTCACAGCAGTCTGCAGCTTCAGCTCCAGGGGTCCTGAACCCTCTTGTGGCTCCACAGACACCTGCATGAACATGCGATATGTGCATACACATGAAACTAAAAGTCAGGGTGCCATTGTTTGTAAACTCAGCATTCAAGACACTGGAGCATGAAGATCCAGAGTCAAGGCCAGTGTTGGCTGCACAGTGAGAACGTATCGCCAAGTCAAGACACATGTTTTGGATAATAAACTAAATAAATATAAGAAGTGAACCAAGTCTTGGGCATATAAAAATTAGTTTGTGAGACACAAATAGCAATTTTTTCTCTTGCATATTGAGGTATGGCTTTGTGCATGCTAAATATACCTGGTAGTAGTGTACTATAACCCCCATTTTGCAATGGAAAATAAAATCTGAAGATGAAATGTTTGTGACAGCATTTTGTTGTGACCTGCCATAAACCCCCAACCTATTTTTCAATAATGTAGTACAATGTTTTGGTTGCTTTCTACATTCCAAACACATTTCACACATATGCCTATTGTGTCCTGAAAGACATAGAAGATAACTTAAGGGAAGAATGAGGAAAAGGTGCCCATCTCCCCAAGTCTACTCATCCAGATGGGCCTTGAAATCCTAAAGAACTGGAAGGAGCAGTATGAGGAGGGTATGTTCTGCTAATTGGGAATAGTATAAACAATCACATTATTGTAGTAGAAACATAGGAAGATGAAGGTTAAGCACAAGGGTTAAGGTGAATATCGAACTTGAAGTATAAAGAACTTGGGGAGGCTCTGAATTAGCAAAGCGGCTCTTGGAATCTAAACAATCCCTAACTTCAGGAAGTTAGCCCCAGTCTGCTGTGCCCCTGGACAGAGGTCTTCTCTAGCAGTGGGACCTGGTAAATGACTTGTTTTCTTCCACCCCAGATTCTTACAGCTAAAGTAAAGGCGTTATCACTGCAGCTTTCTTTCCCTGATTACTCTGTTGATGGAACCTTATAAATATAAACTTCTCCAAGATCTTCAGGCAATTTAAATTTTGGGAAAGAATCTTGAAAAGTTTTGACCTGGAAAAGACAACTACCTGTCTAAATTAAATTCAGATCCATGGTAGAAAATGCACTTGGGTGGCCCAGTGACGTGACTTAGTGGCACTTGCCACTATTCCTAATTACTTGTTCAATTCCCAGAACCTACATGATGAGGGGGGCAGGTGTTGAGAGAAATTGCAATAATATATATTTAAAAAGAAAATGTACTTTTGGGATTAATATGTAACCGAGTTGATTAAGTGCTTGTCTGGCATGCAGGAAAGGCCTTCATTGATGCCCAGCACCATATAAAACAGGCATGGTAGCACTTAACATTCTTTGACCCAAACACTTGGAAGGTAGAGGCAGAAGACTGTCTTCAGCTGAATATGCATAAAGAGATAGGGAATTGAAGCCAGCATGGACAAGAGACCATAGTGTGTATGTGTGTGTGTGTGTGTGTGTGTGTGTGTGTGTGTGTGTGTGTGTGTGTGTGTGTGTGTGGTTTATCTGTCCCCAAGGAGCACTGATACAGATACTGCCTTTTAGGTCACCAGTATGCTTAGATATGAGTTAACCATTTTGAATTTAGTATATGCCAAGACTGTGCTAAAATGTGGGATTATTCCTATTTTACAGACAAGAAAAGCCAAGTGTAGATAATTGACATGACTTTCCCAAAATGTTAAGGAAAATTCTAAATCTAGCTTTGCCCGACTCCAGAAACCTAGCTATTTGGCAGTTCCTCCACAGTTCCTCCATATAACCAACCGGTCTCATTTTTCTCCTTTCAGTAAGAAAAAGCTAAAAGGCAGCCCACACTGATAGGAGTGGTCCCAAATCACACAATGTTTAACAGCCCTCATGATCGGAAATCGTTCGCTTGTGTAACGAACATCTCTCCTAACAACCTGGAAATTCATTTCCTCTTGACTGGGTTTTTCACTCAGTCTGTTCCTTGGCAGCTTTCCTGATATCAAAACAGTCATTGGGATCCTATTCCTACACTCCGGGAGGTCTTGGACTTGTTGGCCTCCGCCTAGTGTGTTCTCTCTGGCTTCTTTGAACCCCCCTCCCAGACTGTGCTGAGTTGGGCATGTCTCGGGGAGAGAAAAAGTGACACTTGAGAACATGCTGGTTTATTATTACACAAAGAAGAGTAAAATTAACCACAAGTGCTGTCCTGGAATGCCAGCGCGATGATCGCACCCCTTGCTTACACTGTCTGCCGTTTTCTTATTTCTCTGCTGTCCTCATCTGAAGCTGCTGAATCATCTATTTGAAGGATGCATTCAGGATTCAAAAAAATAAATAAATAAAAACTCCTGCTCCCCAGTGTTTCCCAGTTACTGTTGGATTTTTGTTTGGTTTTTAATTGGATTCTTCTGGTACCTTTCAGGGCTAAACCAAAAAACTAGTGCAGTTTCTGTTGTCAGGGGCTGATCTGTGGCTGAATGTGTTTCTCTTCCCAGAAAATGCACTTGATTTTTAAACCAAGCTCTCACTCCATGCAGTGCCTTTAAACCAAGGGACTTGGGTGTTATCATCAGATAATCCCGTGTGGGAGCTTTCATCCCACTGGCTAGTTCCACAAGCAAACTCAGGCAAGGAAGTTACAAGGCGCATCTCCCTTTACTACTGCCCTTTGTCTCCAGCATCTGTGACTGAACTCTTTCAGATATCTCAGAGCGATGGTTGAGTATATATAGATGGTGTGCTTGCCACGCCCCTCATTTGCCGTTCAATGTCCCACCATGCTAACTCCTACCTCTTTTAGAGTATACAAATGTTCCCAATGTTATCTCTCTACAAGATCTTGCGTGTTTGCAGAGTTCTTTGAAGCCCTCCTTTTTTTTTTTTTTTTTTTTTTTTGGTTTTTCGAGACAGGGTTTCTCTGTGGCTTTGGAGGCTGTCCTGGAACTAGCTCTTGTAGACCAGGCTGGCCTCGAACTCACAGAGATCCGCCTGCCTCTGCCTCCCAAGTGCTGGGATTAAAGGCGTGCACCACCAACGCCCGGCAGACTTGTGAAGTGGTGAGAAGGTCTTTCTGAAGAAACACGACTTCGGGAGTGACAAGAAAGAAGCAACTCTCCCCTGAAAAGGGTTGGAGCATTTGCCCTTAAACAACATTTCCTGCTTTGCCAGTCCTGCTTGTCATCTAGAGCACTGAGTCTTGGAACAGAAAATTGTGAGCAAGAGTTTCACTTCCCAGAAGTGTGGTCAGCTGTGGGTCGCAGAGGGCATGGCCAGATCATAGTCTCTGTATCATGGTACCTGATAGCCACCTGCTAATCTTTTATCAGTGATCACACCACAACATTCAATGAACCACCACTTAGGGCAGAAGGGAGAGATAACCTGCTGGACTTCCTGTTTGAAGTTCTTTTCCTTCTTGAGATAACAGTATTTCTCATCAAAGCCAGGGAGCCGCTAGGTTAGGGAGACCAGGCTGGGTGAGGGCCAGCCTTCATCCAGCTGAGGAAGAAGATACACACTTCACAGTGTGGCCTCTGTGGCCAGAGCAGGAAGCTACTACAGGCATGAAGAGATCTGAGGCTCACCTGGAGAGAGGGAGCAGTTGACTTTGCAGGGTCTCGTTTACTTCCTCACACAATGTTAATACTCTAGTCCAGAACCAAGAGGCCCCAGGATACCTGAATTGTCTCTGCTTCTGCTGCCCCAACAATTTCAGAAGAACCACCTAAAGGAAGGAGACAGGGGAGGGCAGGCAGAGCCCCAGAGTCAGCCCCTCTCCTAGAGCCCATCAGAGGTCTGGTGAGAACAACTCTAAAGGGTAATGGCTTACCTATGCAGCCAAACCCTATTTCTTCCTCAGCATGGCTCCTCATTCAATTTCCAAAGCTCCTGTAGAAGTTTCAGCTGGAAGAAATGGGATTGTTTTTTTCAGTCACCCTTCTGCAACCTTCCCAAGCTCTAATATTGTTGGGTCCTTATTTCCAATGGATTGGGATTTAAGAGGATTTATACAAATATTTGCCCCTGACAGCTGGAATCTTAGGTCACCCCCACCCTGCCATCTCTTGAGGGATGGCCTGTTGTGCTTTGTTCTGTAATTACACATGCATGACTTTTCTTTCCACCTTAGCTGTCAACTTCCTCCAGGCCCCGATGACCTTGTTCACCCTGTCACCCTCAGGGTCCTTCCTTGGCACATCTTACACAGAATAAAAGTTCAGGTAGTGTGTCCTGGCTGACTGGCTGGCTCAGAGGCTGAACAGTTGAGTGACTATTTGGCTGGAGAAAAGGCTTAGAATGGGGCTTGTCTTTCCACTAGGAAAGCAGTTTTGGTCTCCTCATCTCCATGAATGATCACATAGTAATGGGTCACTAGGGCCCCAAGAGGGGAAAACATTAGTCTTGCTAGTATCAGAGGAAAGAAAGGGGCCAAAAAACATCTCTCTTTGTACAAGGTCGGTGCCATGAGGTGGGGACATTAACACAATGGTCTTTACTATGTCCTCAGTCTACGGTTAATCTAAATTACTTTATGATGGCAAGGCAGTGAGGGAGCTGGAGACTGTTTAGTTTGGGCCAGGACTCATGAAATTTCTAGGAAGCCATTCAGAGTAAGACTTTCCTTGCTCAGCCAATCAAAGGGACCCATGGCTTTTTATCAGGTGTGCTGTGGTTTTTCTAGCCGAGGATGAACTTTTAATTCCTAACATTGAAACTTTCTTGATTAAGAAAGACTGTAGGGTTGGGTGTTGGTGGCTCATGCCTTTAATCCCTGCTCTTGGGAGGCAGAGGCAGAGGCAGAGGCAGGTCAGTCTGGTCTACAGAGCTAGTTCCAGGACAGCCAAGGGTACACAAAGAAACCCTGTACTGAAAAAACAAGATGAAAGAAAGGCCAAAAGAAGCACACAGCCTCAGTCTGCAATGCAGGGCAGTTAGTTATTTAACTTACTTCCCTGATAAATTCTTCTAGTCTTCTGGTCAGTAACAACCTTTAGAGAGCTAGAGTTCTCAAATTTGAAGAAAAATGCCCTCATATACCTTCTTGGATTAGAATAACAGATCCACATTACTATGGGAATAGTTGCCAAGTTTATATCCAGATTCTGACACTCTGTAACGTTTGAGACTTTATTCACCACCTTGGTCCTCCACTTCATCTCCTGTAAAAAAAACCTACTTCACTGAGGAGAATAGAGGATAAAATTGCCTTGGCTGCAAGATGGTGGATAATAAGAGCCATACTCAGGAGTCATCAAGGTACAGTCATCAAAGCTAACCCATCTTTCAGCCTCCAGTTGTCCACAGTCAAGCACTGGGAATTCTGGTACTAGACAAGACATGACTTCTTACTCTGCAGTGGGTCCTCCTCCTCCCCTGCCCTTTCCTCTAAAAGGGCTTAGATGCTGTCTTCAATCCTGGGCACCAAAGAAGACCCACTTCAGAAGTGCAAGGCTGATGTTTTTAATAATCAGCTCCTATATGCTGATGTCCCCTAAGTTCAAGAGCTGGTTAAGCCGAATGTGGAGGGCCCTGTTATTGTTAGTATTGTATCAAGACCCTTATTACTAGACTTTGTTATCTCCTGATGAAGTAAAATCATTGGTATCCCAAACTCCCCCAGAGTTGGAGGACTTACAGCTGAGATGTTGGATCTTAGATGAGAGCCTACCACCCCCTCTGGTCAGACAGTAGTAGTAGTGCTTGATGAAGTCCCACTTCCCCAGATCACCTTCACGGGTGAGCAGGGGAGCCTGCATGTCTCATTGTTACTTTGCAGTCCTAACTAGATTTCTTTAGACTGCACGGGTACTTCTGGAAGGCTTTTCTTATTGGCTGTGAAAATTGTTGTATAAGCAGGGTCCTATTTTCAAAGTCAAGAGACTGAAGCACTAATTCTATGTAGCCCTGGGAAAACCTTTACTTGGGTGGCTCCTTACTTTCCTATGTGCCAAATTGAGATGATCAGGTCAGGTTCAACTTCCTCGTGTTAGTGGGTTGGAAAATGAGAGGAATAAGCACATAACCATTTAATTACCAACCTCAATTCTGTGATTTTCAAATAAAATATTTTTCTGAAAAAGAACAAGCCTTGGGCAAGACAAAGAACTTCATTTCTTTTGTGAGGGGTGCTGTCATGTATTGTGATTGTATTCACAAAATCTAGAATTTTCTGTGCACTCTTGTACACAGAAAGACAGGCTCCCAATTACCCCTCCTAACCCAATTCCTTTCCATCACATGTACCCCGTCTTAGGCCCTTTACATCAACAAACCAATTGCTGAATCAACAAGCGTTTATTGATCATCTTGTGGTTGCCTAGCACTGTTACAGTCTTGGGTATACATACAGGCAGGTTTAAGATATGATAACTGCCCTCTAAATACTTACAGTGAACTTTTGAGATCACACACACACACACACACACACACACACGAGAACTATCAAGCTATCAATCAAAATTACGGCTAATAAGCATTAAGCGATTTTTATATTGGGAGTTGGAGGAGGGAGAGGTAAGAGCAGGAAGGAGTGGTCAGAGAAGTCTCAATGAAGGTGGTGATGCCGAGCAAGTTCTCCAAGCATGGTGATGACTTGCTAAGAGGAAATGGCTTCCAAGCTGGTAAAGCCGCTTGAACATAGGTAGCATGGTGGGGAAAGGAAAGGCATGTTAGAGGAAACCTCACGCATGAGCCTTCCTTGCTGGTGCTGAGGTTTTGACGAGGTGTGCTGGGTATCTTCTGAAGCTGGTGATATTAGGCTGGTGGGGAAAAGATGTGTCTCTTGTGTCTGATCCCCACCTGTCACAGACAAACTGGAGCAGTTTAAGACCTTGAAAGTGAAACTGTTTGAGAACTGTTCTCTGTTCTCCCAACTCAAGCACAATCCCAGGCAGCAGTTCACCTATCACTCAGGTCATAGATGTTCCACACTGGAGAACTTGCAACCCTGCCAGAATATCTTTTGGTAGACAATGGCACGAGTATTAAAAGTGACCAACGGCCTATCTGGTGCTATGGTCTTCCAGAGGCTCTGTAGTGTTCCAAGCATAGACCAATGGGTTGTTTTTCCATTAAGTCTGAAGTTGGTGGTAGGGTTGCCTCTGAAACAGTAGGAGCACACACTACAGCCATCATACATGTCCACCCAGCTTTTTAGATCCGGAAGTTCTTACTCTTTCTTGGCCAGGGTTAAGCAGTAGTTATCTTTCTTAGTTCTCTACAGTTGGCATGTTGAAGGGCAGTTCTAGAAAAACTGGTTTGTTGTCCCCAAGGAAACCTTTGTCTAGGCCTCCAACTCTTGTGGTTTAGCCAGAAGGCTAGGTCAGATACCCCAGAGAAGGCAGAGGCTTCAGTGGTAGTTGTTAACTGCAGCTTCTTGGCAATTCCTCAGTGGAGTCAAAGTGCTGCAGCCTTGTTCTTTCCTGCAACTATGCTTCCACAAGAATATGGGAACCAGAGGAAGTGCCCTGAGTCTGATGCTGATGGTCTGGGGGTCCCAGGTTGCCTCCCATCCTGTACCCAGTTGCTTTCTGCTGGGTGCCATGAGACATTGTTCCTTCAATTCATGCACAGACCAGTCTGGACATGCTGCATTCATAGCAAAGGCGGGAGGGAGGCTTCAGGGCCTGCTAGTGATCAATTAATTCCTTTGGATGGAGGCTTAAGAAGGGAGCTAGAGCCATGCTCACAGAAGCCACCATTCCTTCTTTCTCTCTGTCCCCCAGCAACTGAGTTAAGAGCCAACCTCACCCAGAGGGAGAAGGTCTTCTGGTCACAGATGATCAGTGGGATATGATTAGTGGGTCGGGGCACGGATTTCCAGGTAAACCAAAGGTCAGAAGAGCGTCTCTGGGTTTAGCCAAAAGTGGCAGGGATGGGATTTGGAGTTTTAGGTTGAGTATTCAAGGTCCAGGAGGTGCCGTGGTGAGGCAAGGTAAGGGAAATAGAAAAGCTGGCTAGGTGAGTGTCCTTGGCAATTCAACCTACATGCTGTCACACCAGTCCCCATCTCTGCCTTCACTCCATCCAATGGCCACAGTCAGTCTATCCTCAGCAGCACCTTACACATGCTTCAGTGGCAATGTCCCTTGCCCGTGACCCTCAGGGCATTGTCCACTACTTTTTTTTACAGTCCCAGTCACCACCCCACCCCACCCCCAGCTCTGGCCCCTGGTTCTTCACACATACCCAGTCAGGCTGTAGGAGTTGAACTCACTCTTGGCTTTGGGCTGTTGGCCGGGCCTTGGAGAGCTCCTAGTGGCAAGAGGCTGGGCCTGGTAGCCATCATAGTAGTTGGTACGATTTCTTTGAGGTGAGCAGGAAAAGCAGAGGATAACTCCAGCTACCAGGGAGAACAGGGCTGAAATAATGCCCAAGTAAAGAGCCTCTCCGATCTCAAATTTCATGCTGTCAGGAACCAGTGGTGAATAGAAGTCCCGAAGGATGCCATGAAGATTCCAGGCAACTGGAATAAAACCCAGGATGCCGCCAAGGATGAAGAAAACTCCACCCACTACAGCCACTCTGTCCTTAGCTCGAGATTCCTGGCAGAAGACTGTGCATCTCATGCCCACCACAGAGATAATGCAGGCCAGTGAGGACATGGCGCTGGATGTCACCATCATGGCCTGGGCAGCCTGGATGTCAGCAGGAAGTCCTAGGAGTGTACTGTAGATATCACACTGGGTGATGCCTGTGCTATGCGTAGCACACTCCATCCAGAGGCCCTTGGAAAAGCCAACCGCTGTCACAATGCTGGCACCAACGTAAGAACTCGTTCGCCAGTTGGGAAGCAGCATGGCAATCGATGTGCCTAAAAGCCCCAAAAGGCCTAGGATGTAGCCCACCAGTTGGACGCCAAGGGAGGCCATGGCAGTCCTCTCAATATAAGTCTCTTCGGAGCCCGTTCTCTCGTCTTTTGGCTGCTGCTCTTGTTTCTTGGATCCCGGACTCTAATCCCTCATTTCACAGTGTCTCTGGCAAGCTGACTTCTTCCCTCCTTACAAGTATCTGTGGGTGGCCACAAGCAGGCTCAAGAAGGCATCTAGAAAACCTTAAAAAAACCATAAACCAGATTAAATATTGACCAGAAGCTTATGAGAAACCAGAAAACGCTGAATGCCTTTTGACCTTTGTTATCTTTAAAAATAACACATGAGAAAGAAAAAAAAACTTTGGAAGTAGAGCCAAAATGTCATCACCTCCTGCGTAGGCACATGCTTTAGGTTGGCAGTCAGACAAAGGCAGGGGCCAGCAGGTGGCTGCTTTCCGAGAAGGTAGTGATGGCAATAGCAGTTGTGGTGTGTTAACTCCACTGCTAGTCTCTAAGGCCTGCTATTTAACATATTGCCAAGCAACTGCACCACGGGGCCCCTCAATTGCAGACTGAGGCCAAACTCCAGGAGACTGGATCGTGCGGAACAAGTCTTAGAATGTGGTCTTGGACTCCAGTTTGTTAGAGGCTACTTGTAGTGCCAAGGGACTAAAGATTGCTGGCTTACCCTGGAATCATTTTGCCTCTGGCAATAATGTACTTCCAGGGCAAATCAGGGTGGGAAACAAAGGTTTCTGTCCACTCTCAGAGGTCAGGTCTTTTAGCCTCGTTCAGATTCCTCCCTGCAAGGCAGCATAAGAGCCTCTAAAGGTATAGAACACCAGGTATTTCCTGTCTCCTCTCCTAACAGATGATCTCATGACCAACCTCTCAAATGACAGGTGAGGACTCTAAAGAAAAACTGTTGAACTCCAGGTCCTAGGGGTTCTCAAGGTCCCTGGCTTGTCGGAGACAGTAGAAAACGTGGAGGGAAGGCAAGCTGCTCCAGGAGGCTTTGCAAAAGGTAGGCAGACATTCAGTGATACATGGGATTTTGCAGTGTTAGGCGATTTCACACTGTTTCCAAGGCTCAAGATACAAAAGTCAAAGTAACACTCCTCCCGCTCCTTCTGCAAGAAGGTTCAGTCCACACATTTTCAACCCAATACAACATTGCTACTCCATCTTCACCTTCCTAATTTTTTGTAGGGGAGTGCTGGAGAGATGGCTCAGTGGTTAAGAGCACTGGTTGCTCTTCCAGGGGACCTAGGTTCAATTCCCAGCACCTATGTGGTGTGTCATAACTGTCAGTAACTTCAGTTCCAGCTCGGATTCCCTTGTCTGACCTCTGCAGGCACCTGGCCCACAAATGACATACAGACACACATACAGGCAAAACATTCATATGCATAAAAAACAAATGTTTTCAAATTTCTCTTACACATTGCTCAGGGATCCATTCTTTCCTGAATTAAAACTCTAGAAACGAACAAGTGTACCTATTCTGTTACCTAATCTGTTCCCTATCCAAATCTAAATTTTCAGTGGAAAGTCTCCTAATAGTCAACACAGGCAAAGGGATCCTCTAATAAAAAATTCTGGGAGGAGGTGATTGGAACTCAGCTCAGTGGGAGCATGGAAAATCTCATGACAACCTCATCTGACCTTTTCAAAGGAACACAGCACCTCTCCCTCTGTACCTCCTGATCTGTTCTTGCCTGGGTCCTATGTTGTCACCAAATGGTAACCCTCTCCATCTAGACCAATATCCCAGGAGTGATTCTTCATACCCTGCTCCTGTTTATCCCTGCATCTTATAACTATGACGTTCCACTAGTCCTGTCTTCTGAATTACTTAAAATTTATGACTCTCATGTCTCATCTCCACCACCTACTTCCTAATTTGGGGCTTCATCATCCATCCTTCCTCACCTGGGGAAACAACAGTTATATAACTGGTCTTCCTGCCAGTCTTGCCTAGTCCAATGAAGTCTCCTCGTGGTTGCCATGATGATCTTTCAACACATAAATCTGAAGAAGTCATTTGAATGTGTGTCACCGGGTGGGAGGAGGGGTGCCACTTGATGCATAAACCTGTGGATGCCAAATGTTGACTTCAGGTATCTTCCTTGATTTTTCTCCATCTTATGTTTTGATTTTTTTGATAATCTATTTTATTATACATCTATGCACACATGTGTGTATGCATGTGGAGGTCAGAGGAAAACTTGTGGGGAGAGTTGATTCTCTCCTTCCACCATGTGAGTTCTGGCGATCAAACGTAGGCTGTTAGACTTGGCAGCAAGTACCTTTACTCACTGAACTATATCGACACCCTCTGCCTTTAATTTTATTTGGAGATGGTCTCTCCCTGAACCTGGAGCTTGTTGTTTTCGCTGGCAGGCGAAGCCTTGTGGTCTGCTTCCTCCTCACCCACTCGGAGTGCACATGCCTCCACACCCAAGTTTATTTTTTACATTGTTCCTGGAGATCTGAACTCAAGTCTTCCTGGAGATCTGAACTCAAGTCTTCATGTTTTCACAAGTTACTACTCTTAAGACATTCCAGTGGCCCACTGTTGACCAAAGGATAAAACCCAAGTTTCTTTGAACTCTGTGGCCCCCAAGATTCACCTGCTCATACTCAATATTGTGGCTGAACTAAATTGCTCTCGGCTCTTCAATCATGTCATGTGGTGTTTTTGCTCCCACGTCTGAGCACAGGCTGTACTGTAAGGAATGTTTTGAGGACTTAGCTTGGATATTTTTCATTCTAGACACAGTCCAGTGCCCCTCTCCTGTATTTTTCTAAATATTCATTTATTTTATGTGTGTAAATGTCTTGCTTGTGTGGAATATGTTCAGGGCCCTTGAGTACCAAAAGAGGGAATTGGATCCCCTGGAACTGTAGTTAAAGATTGTTATGAGCTAACATGTGTAGGTGCTGAGATTTGAACCTAGGTCCTCTGGAAGAGCATTCAGTGCTATTCACTACTGAGTCGTCTCTCCAGGACACTCTTCTATATTCTTATAGCACCTTCTTCTATCATCACCATAACAACAATAATAATAGCAGTACACATACTGCCTCCTTTTGGCTGTTTTCTGCTTGTTTTGTTTTGAGACAACATTTCACTATGTAGGACAGGCCTGCCTGGAACTCACTGTTAGCCTGAACTAGCCTCAGACTTGTGATCTTCCTGCCTCAGCCATCCAAGTGCTAAGAACACAGGCAGCACCATTGTGCCAGGATATATAGTGTTTCTCATTTGACTATTATAAGCACTTTATATCTGTCAATTCATTTAATTGTCAACTATTTCATGATAGACACAGTAATACTCTCTACTGTATAGTAAGTGAAAAAACTAAGGTCATGACATACTTGTGTTATAATTTCCTGTTTAAACTCATTTTTTCTCTGCTTGCATGGGAGCTACTTGTTGGCATAGATGGCATCTTATTTATGTCTGTATTTCGTGTGTCTTACACAGTGCCTTACCCACCAAATAACTGTTTAAACATACCTTTTACTAAAACAAATGGAGACAGGGTCTTTCTATGTAGCCCTGACTTGTCTGGAACTTGCTATGTAATCCAGGCTGCCTTTGAAATCCTACCCCTGTCTCCTAAATGCTAAGATTACAAGCGTGCACCAGCTCACCTAGCTTCAAACACATCATCTTAATGAAAGAATAAAAGCAGTTAACAGGTTTGAAGGACCCAGGAGACTATGAGGAGTCAGTGAACATTGCAGAGAAAAGATCACCGGTGTTACTCACAGAGAATGAAGAGGATCAGAAGAAAAGGGGATAGCTAGAGGAGGACAAGATGGAGAAATACATAATTCCACCCCTCCTTCTCTCTCTCTCTCTCTGTCTCTGTCTCTCTGTCTGTCCCTGCCTCTCTGTCTCTCTCTGTCTCTTTCTCTCTATCTCTCTCTGTCTCTGTCTCTCTGTCTCTCTCCCTCTCTCTGTCTCTCTCCCTCTCTCTCTCTCTCCCTCCATTTGTTGAATATCTTGCCTATTCAGTTGGAGGTGAAAACCATGCTAAACTTGTGTTTCCCAGCCACATAAAACACATCGTTAATAGTCCTGTTCATCAGCACAGCTATGATGGTGGTATCTATAAAAAGCAATGCAAGGGCCAATGCACAATTAGCAAATTCTGCCATTAACAGCTATGACAAGGGGCAAGTCCTTTCCTGGCACTGGTTTTCTCCTGCTACTCTGATCACAGCTGTGTCTATCCATGTCTCAGATGCTCATGTCAGCAAGGCCTTCAGCAATCCTACTCCTCCACTGTAAGCATCCTCCTGGTGAATATTTTACATTTCCAACACTTTCTGAAGTTCCCTTCTCCCATACCGCCTCATTATGTAGCTAGTACTGCCAGTCTTGACCTTTCTCTTTAAGGCCAACTTTCTTAATCCTTTTAATATTGATATCCCGCTTCACCTTTGCACACTCGTCTCAGCTGTAGCCTCGCTTCTGCCGTTTGCCCTCCACTGAGAATGCTCTCACCAAAGTTAATCATTGCCTTAGTCCAATGTCTAATATTCATATATCTGCCACCTTGCCTTGCCTCTCTCCTTCAGAAAACTGACTTCTCCATTGTTCTCTATAGTGCTTCCAATGTTGCCATTCCTCTCTCTTTTTAAAGACAGGACTTCAAAATATAGCTGAGCCTGACTTGGTACTCACTATGCAGCCCAGGATGGCTTCAAACTCCCAGCAAATCCTCTTGCGTTGGTTTGACAATGGCTGTTAAATCCACACCTGTCTCATACACCTGTCTTTTGAACTCAAGGTTTGCATAGTAGACTGCATTTGACATGAGCACCATGGATGTATTAATGTATCAACGGCACCTCAAATTCAACACATATAAAGCAGAAGTCTCTGCCCTCATCTCTTCCCATCCTCAAACTAACCTTCATACATTGTGCCCTATCTCAGTATCCAGTATGCCCTATCTGCCATCCAGTAATCCAAGCCAGTAAGCGTTGTTTCTTCAGTCTTTCTATTTTCTTTTTTTCTTCTTCTTTTTGAGATAGGATCTTCAGATATAGCTCAGGCTGGCCTTGAACTTATAGCAATCCTTCTACTTCAGCCTCTGATTATCAAACTGAGTCACCACACCTGACTTCCTAGAATTTCCTTGGCATATAATCTTAATGAAGTCATTCTAGATAAACCTTCAAAATAAAATACAAATGTATCTATTTCCCTCTCCCCGGTCCAAACCTTAGTTTAGATGACACAGCCAACATCTCTTGTCTATTGGAAATCACATGGCCCCCTCTGGTTGGTCTCACTAATCCCACTTCAGCCTTGCCCCTGAAATCAATCATCAAGCTAGTCATGAAGGATCTTTCTATAAGTATAATCGAGTCATAACTGTCATGTTAGCCCTTGCCATGCTTAAAAGACTTTAGGAACATTTGATTGCTTTCAGCGTAAAGGTCGGTCTCTTAGGACACCAGGGAAAGCTTTCTATTGTCTGACCTCATACTTTACTTCTGAGTTTCATCCCTAGCTGTTAACCACCCATTTCATGCCTTTGCCTTTAGACTGACCAGCCCCCTCGGCGAATGCATGTGCACACACATGTGCACACCAATTCAGTTGTATCTGAGCAGTTGTAGTTTTCTACATCTGCCTTTGTGTTCCAGCCTTGCCATCCATCCACCATTTTCCCAGAGACTTGCTGGTCATCCTTTAGTGTTATAATCATCCATTTTGGAGAACTGTTCTTGGACCCTCCTCCATTTCTTGTCCAGGTTGACTTAAATACCTTCCTTCAAACATGCAGAAGGATGGAGAACTACCTTACAGATTTTGTTGGGAAAGAACTCCTGGTTCTCAGAGAAGCAACTTGAACCTCCGCTTTCTTGGGATGGCAACAGGATGAAGCTTGAGTCATACTTGGTGGCACATACTGTAACCCTGGCACTGAGCAGGTGGAGACAGAAGTGTGGCAAGTTAGAGGCCAGTTTGGGCTATATAGGGAGGTCCGGGTCAGTGTTGGCTACATAGCAAGACTCTGTCTCTAAAACAAGCAACTAAACCAAAACAAGCAACCCTCAGTTTCCCCAAGGAAATCAAAGGTTCTCCAAGAGAAAAACCTCTCCTGAGAGCTAGGCCTGACTTAGTAGTTGTTGAGAAGAAAGAATCTGAGAGTTCAGTCACGAAAACACCAACTGAAGGCTAGGGCTGTCAGTCAGAAAGGGAGTTGCCATAACTGAGCAGGAGTTTATTCATTATTCCAAAGGAAAAAGTGGTTCCCTGGGAGCTAATTCTCCCTTAGGGTCAGGAAGACAAGGTTGACAAACTAGCAGCTGACTGGGTGGGGTGAGGTAAGCTAGGCTGATTCCTATTTTGGCAAGCAGTAGCACTGAGGGCAGACACTGAAGAGAAAGGGTCCTGCCCGAGCGCCCAGGTCTAGTCTCCTGTCTAGGTATACCTACAACCTGTTGATTTGTTCATCAATACAGTTTTCTTCACCTCGAATTAGGTAGTGGAAAGGAGAGGCCATCTAAAGAAATGGAAAGACCATAAAGCTGCTATTTGAAGTAGAGAACTTTAAAAGAAACCTTTCTCTCAGGGTCCCCCCAAAATCCAGGTCCCCCTTGCTTTGAGGATGTAGGGACTCTAGGCCTTGCTAGCTGAATTCATTAACTGGGAGTGAAGCCAACATCCTCCATGGCCAAAAGCTGGCCCAGAAAGTTTCCCTCTGGACCTTCACCTAATCTTCCTTAGGGGAGGGATTGGAACTGCAGGAGAGGATTAAGAGGGTCAAGCCTGATTTAACTCCTTCTCACCAGGGAAGTTGTCTTGATACTGTCTCTGTCTGTGGTGCCTGCTATTTCTCTATTGAAGATAACCTTAAAAACATGAGTGTGACAGAATCATTAAGATTCTGTGACTCAAGGAAGGTGCTGATACAGCCTTCTGTTAAGGATGGAAGCCATCAGAGCCTGTTTGCCAGTCTTCCTCATGTCCCCACCCCTTGATTTTACAGCCACTCTGAGGAGTCTGAGACAGTGGCTCCCTACCCTGTACCCTACTCCCGAATCCCAAGGGCTCGAGTGAGTGTCGAAGCCATCCCTTTGCAATCCACCTTTCTGCATCAGTTGAGAGATGACAGCTGTTGTACCTAGAGTGAGGGATTTTATAATTGTCTTTTTAAAAAGAAGCTTATTTTTGTTCAGTTCACCAAGGTAAAAGTCAGCATACTTTAAGGCACCAGGAAACAGAAAGGAAGGATTTATAAGACAAAACCCGACCACTATCAGCACTGCCAAGTGCCATCAGCCCGAGTGTTGTGAATGTTTTGGCTCCAACTCCATTTTTTAAGAACACTCAAAAAATACAGTACCTGAGATGGGGGCGTTCCTGGAGAGCAATTGAGAGCCTTGCAAAGAGAGTCACAGAGGAACCTACCTTCTGCTGCCCCTTAAGCTCTCAAGCCCAGGAGGGCATTGGAACGTCCCGCCCTGCTTAGCCTCCTGTGGTCCAGCAAAAGGGAAAAGCTCTAGCTCCCTTCCTCCTGTGTTCTCCCCAGTTCCTTCATTTCAAATGATCTGACCTGAAGAATGGATCTTCTGGCCCTTCTCATTAAAGGATGGCACACCTTGTTACAACTTGAAGAAAGCACATAGCACCAACCCATATGCTCACTACCATATCCTTCCCTTGGTATCCTAAGGTAACCGACCCTGACTCCATCAAGGGCTCCAGTGACTGCAGCTAGGTTTGAAACTACCCACCTACGTGAGCCTGAAGGACAGTAACTGCCTTAGGATACTTACAGAGCAGCTGTGCTTTTGAAGAGCTCCGGACTGAAGAGACACCCCTGGGGACAGAGGACTGAGTGAGTCCTGGTAAGGGCAATCTGGTTCTGAGGGGCCCCAGGCTGTGGTGATAAGGGATTTCTAATTGTTAGCCACAGCTTTTCAAAAATCCACCTTCTTACAGATGAGAATTAAACCCCTGGAGGCTGGAAAAAGATTGAAGTATTCTTTAAAAAAATGTTTGGTGGATTTTATGTTTACCCTGTTAAAAACTCCAGCTGGGCTTCTGTGTGGTGGACCTCTGTGAACCCCAGGGGAAACTTGTGGGGAGGGGGATTTGGGCCAAGGAGGAATTTAGAACATTCCTGCTTTAGGGGGAAGGGAGAGAAGGGTGTTCTCTTATGCCCATTAGGTGTCCCTGGCTTGCGGCCCCAAGGCTCAGCAGGAAGTAAGCCTCATGAGCACAGCCTGGGTGAACTAGAACCCAAGTGGCCTGGCACTGCAGTTCTGTGCTGCCAGGCTTCCAGAACTCTTCAACTCACTGTGGTTCTCTGGTAAGACCCCAGTCCTAATCCATCCCCAAGGCCAGCTTCCCAAGGGAAAACATGTGTACCATAGATTTGTCATCAGAATTTTTAGGGTGGAAACCTGGGTTCTCGCAGGCACAACAAACTAGGTTTAACCATTGTCTGTACTACACCAATTAAATACACAGTTATAGCAAAAAGCAGAGAAAGGAGATTTATTCAATATGGTAACTTTGGGAAGAAGAAATAAAGGGGCTCAGGGATCCTGCAAGTCCTTCTTCAGGGTGTTGACAGGAGGATTAGTTTTCTGTAGAAGGAAGGTGTGCATGATTGAGCAATCCTGGTCATGGGGCAGTCCCGTCCGTCATTGATTGTGTCTCTGCTCCTTTCTGTTCTGTAAGGTGGTCTGATAACTCATGTGAAATCTCTGCCTGAGAAGCAAGTTCCTCCTTTGCAAAGGTTTCTTCCCCCCACCCAAGCTTCAGCTTTGCCCTTCTCCCAGCACAGTATCCCTGGGGAAATTTTAATTCTTTCTGGTTGATTTTTTCAATAGTCTGATAGCCAAAGGGAAAGACATAAGCATCTCTTTTTAAAACATATTCTCTCTGGGCTAGGGAGTGTAGGTCAGCTGGTAGAGAGCTTGCTTTGATTCTCAGCACCCATAAAACTGGGCATGGAGCCCAGACCTGTAACCCCAGCATATGGAAGGTGGAGGCAGAAGGTTCAGAAGTTCAAGGTAAGTTTGAGACTAGTTGATCTATGTGAGACCTGGCCTCAAAAATAAAGTTGAATATATGAGTGTAGTCTCCCTCTCTCCTGTGTCCCTTCTTTCCTCTATCCCTCCCAGAAAAAAAAAACATCATTTCTCCTACCAAGAGAGATTACAGATGCAGTCTCTGTGAGTTCAGAGCAGGCCCTGAGCAGTGAGCCTAATGATGCCTCTTTTCCTCTCCAGCAAACACAGAAGTACTAAATACTATGCCATTCGAGCCCCCTCAAAAGTTCTGTATAGTACAATGATTAGGATTCCTAAAAACTTTGCTTTTTTCTTTTTCCTTTTTCTTTTTTCTTTTTGGTTTTTCCAGACAGGGTTTCTCTGTGTAACAGCCTTAGCTGTCCTGGAACTTGCTCTGTAGACCAGGCTGGCCTCGAACTCACAGAGATCCACCTGCCTCTGCTTCCCAAGTACTGGGATTACAGGCATGCACTATCACCACATGGCTTCCTCTTTTTTAAAAATTGTGACAGGTTCTCTATGTAGCCCAGGCTAGCCTCAAATTCACTATGTACTCCATGATAACCTAGAACTTATAGCAATCCTGTTGTCTCCAAAGTACTGGAATATTATGCTATTGAAAAAAATTCAGAGAATAGAATATAAAAAAATAAAATGAAGTTTCCCATAATGCTACTGACCAGTGATAATCACTGCTAATATTTTGAAACCATTAATTTTATAAAACTGAATCACACAATATATATAATTCTATAATCTATCATTTCTAAAGACTGTGCCATGGAGCTTCTCCCATATCAATTAAAAAACCAGTTTTTAAGCTCTCCAATACCTGAATTGCATTCCATCATGTAAAATGATTTTCTTTACCCCAAAAAACAGACATTTTGTCATATACCATTTTTTGCTAATAAAAAAATTCTCATCTCTCTGTATAATTATAACAAATTCCCTAGGCCTAGAATTGTTTGGTTAGAGAGTATTTACTTCTTTTTTCCAGATAAGGTTTCTCTGTGTAGCCTTGCCAGTCCTGGAACTCTGTAAACCAGTCTGGCCTTGAACTCACAGAAATCCGCCTGCCTCTGCCTCTGGAGTGCTGGGATTAAAGACATGCGCCACCACCGCCCAGAGACAGCATTTACTTTTAAACACTAGTACAATACATTGCAAAAATAAGGTGGCTGCTGCTGTTTCCAATGAAGACACTGAAGTCCAGTGAGGTGAAAGTACAAAATACGTAGCAACTCAAGGTGAGTTCGACCTGGTATCTGGGTGTCTCGTTGAGTCAACTTTCAGGTGAACACGCTGTGACTCCTCGGGAGTCCCGCATAGAAATGTTCTTCCGGTTAGGGGCGGGCCATTATGCAGTTGGTGGTCCTGGGGCCTGTGTGGAGACTTTTTCCATGCATGCTCTCACTGAGCTGACCCAGAGCGGAAGCATGCCTGACTACCAGAGGTGGCCCACTGTGGACTTGGACTCTGAATTGGTGTACTTTTTTTTTAAAGTAATATCAAAGCAAACAGATTTGTTGCCTAGGGAGAATTCAGTGAAGCAAATCAGACTTCTTCGTCCTTCCTAAAATGGCCTATCCCTGCCTCGCTGGTATGAATGGGTCACTGATCCCTCTAACAGTAGTCCTGCACAAGAGATTCTTCAGGATTGGCCCCCTTGGCAGGCTGGGACAAGCTAAGGTCAGTGAGGCCTGAACTCGGGCCTGGGGACTCAGCAGGGAAGCAGGCAAGGCTGCAGGGGCTAGGAGGATAACATGCTAATCCTCTAACCAGCTCAGTGACCTTGAGCAAATCTTTCCAGCCTCCTTTTTCCAGGCTCCCCGCAGCTGACTCTTCAAGCCCGGACTAATGAATCTGGGAGTGCTTTGCCACTTAGAAAACGCTGGCTGAAGGCGAACTGTTTGACTTTGTGGTGGTGGTGCGCCTTATCAGCTCTCAGTGATACTGTGCAACTGAGGATAGAAAAAGACAGACTCTTAGGGACAGGTGCCAGGGCGGATGAGGGCGCCGTGTTCGAAGGATGTGGTTACCGTGCTGGCAAGCATTCAAGGACTGGGTTCTAACAATGCTCCATACAGGTCGGCACTGACAGATCCTGGTGGCCCCATGCCAAAGCCTATATAAGCCCTGGCTTCGGAGGTGGGAAGGGATCTTAGTAATCATACTGCTGAGACCCCGGCTGACATCCAGCCCCCTACTCAGGCAGAGGATGGAGAAGAACATGAAGGAAAGGGGGAGAGTAGCAGTCTAGGGAGAGCAGTATCTGGGTAAGGAGAAGAGTGAGCAGTGTGAGAGCAAAGGAAGGAAAATAAAGGTCTGAAAAGTGATGAGGAGAAGGGAGCAGATGAGAGAGCCGTCTCTGAGGAAGCGAATGTTAGTCATCTAGATAAAGCAAGGTCTTGAAGGAGGGGGAAGAGATGGTGTGATGAAAAGAGAAGTCTAGCGTGGGGGGATATCACTTAGTAGGTAGGATGTTTGCCTAACAGGCAGGAAACCCGGGGTTCTGTGTAGCATGACATAAAGCTGGGCATGGTGTGTGCCCATGATCCTTATATAACCAGAGGCTGAGGCAGGATTGCCATGGATTCAGTGCTAACCTGAGGTACCTGACTACAAAATTGGAGGAGTCTAGAAGGCAGCAGCAACTTGAGACAAGAATAAGGAGGAAAGAACTCTGGGAAGAGTTGGGGAGTCTGTGGCATGGGAAAGATGCAAGAGATCATTTCACCAAACAAAGACACACTTGCCAGCATTGACCCCGTGTCACCAAGCCAATGACAACTTTTGAGGACCGAACTTCCCTCACTTCCATACAGCTTTCAATACCCTCCATAAGTGCCCTCCTGGCTTCTGACACAACATGTCCACGGTTTTTCTCCCTATCTCTTGAGCCCCTTTTTTCTTGACTCCTTATCCTCTTTCAAGCAGTAAGAATTGATGCTTCATAAAATTAGAGAGTAGAATGAATGATTATCAGAGCCTCAGAAGGACATGGAATGAGAGCAATGGGGAGTCAACGGTCAATGGTCACATTTGTGCAATTGTATAGGGCAGATAGCTTCTGATGTGCTGTGTCATCAGAGGTTATTTATGGTTGACAACAATTCATTTTTTCAACTTGAAGTATGCGAATTTAATTCAATCAAAATTTTGAAATTCAATGGATCGAAAGGATACAATCAAGACTCATAAAGGGTAATTCAGTTCATGGAATATAAATATTTACAAATTGTGTGTCTGACATGGAAATTATATTTTTCCTTATTTTATTTAAATTAGAAACAAGCTAGTTTTACATGTCAATCCCAGTTCCCTCTCCCTCCCCTCCTCCCTTGCCTCCCAACAACCCCCATCCCATCCCCTTTCTGCTCCCCAGGGAGGGTAAGGCCTTCCACGGGAGATCTTCAAAGTCTGTCATATCATTTGGAGCAGGGCCTAGGCCCTCCCCCGTGCATCTAGGCTGAGAGAGTATCCCTCTATGTGGAATGGGCTCATAAAGTTCACTCGTATACTAGGGATAAATACTGATCCACTACCAGAGGCCCCATAGATTGCCCAGGCCTCCTAACTGACACCCATCTTCAGGGCATCTGGATCGGTCCTATGCTGGTTTCCAGCTATCAGTGTGGGGGCCATGAACTCCCCCTTGTTCAGGTCAGCTGTTTCTATGGGTTTCGCCAACTTGGTCTTGACCCCTTTGCTCATCACTCCTCCCTCTCTGCAACAGGATTCCAGCCCAGTGTTTAGCTGTGGGTGTCTGTCTGCTTCTGCTTCCATCAGCTACTGGATGAAGGCTCTGGGATGGCATATAAGGTAGTCATTAATCTCATTATTGGGGAAGGGCATTTAAGGTAGCCTCTCCATTATTGCTTAGATTCTTAGTTGGTGTCATTCTTGTAGATATCTAGAAATTTTCCTAGTGCCAGATTTCTCTTTAAACCTATAATGATTTCCTCTATTATGGTATCTCTATTCTTGCTCTCCTCTATTCTTCCCCCAACTCAGTCTTCCTGCTCCCTCCTGTCCTCCTCTCCCCTCCTCCTCTCCCCTTCTCTTTCTCCTGACTCTCTCTCCCCTCCCCCCATGCTCACAATTTGCTCAGGAGATCCTGTCCCTTTCCCCTTCTCTGGGGAACCAGACAACAATTAATTTAATGTTTCAGAATAGCTGGTGAAGAGTATCTTGAATGATTTCATACAAGGAAATAGGAATTATTTGAGGTGGGACTGGGGAGGTGTCTTGGCTGTTAAGAGCACTAGCTGCTCTTCCAAAGGACCTTGGTTTGATTCCCAGCTTACAATCATCTGTAACTCCAGTTACAGGGGATCCAATGCCCCCTTCTGCCCTCGGAGGGCACTATACACATGAATACATCCATACACATGAAATAATAAAAAGGAATTTTAAAGACTTCTTTGGGGTTATGGTTGTATCAATTATTCTAATCTAATTATTACACACTGTGCACATGCATCAAATCATCACACTATGTTCCATATCATGTGCCAATTAACTACTTCAAAATATTGTAGGAGGCTGGGTTAGAACTAAGTGGTAACATGCTTGCCTAGTATACTTATGGCCAGCGTTCCTTTTCCAGCACCGCAAAAAATTGTTTTAACAGATGGCTGTTTCTAGCAAGAGTGGGAGGGAAATAAGAGAGGGTGGAGCAAATAATTGGAATCCATTATATATGTGCTTGAATTTGAACAAAATTTATTGATGAAATTTGGTGTTTCTCAAGGGCCTGGCTCAGACTTTCTCCCCTCATTCTGCATTCAGGAAGTCTTCTTTGTCCTTAATGGTTTCAATTGTATGTATAATTGGATGACTTCCAAACAGGCACTGTCAGCTCAGATTTTTCTGAGCTTTAGATCTCTCTGGACTGGTATCTTTTTTTAGTGGCTCATTGTGCCCCAATCATGTCCCTTTTTGTTGACATGGAATTTCTTTTTAAATTTTGAATTTTACTTTACGTACTTATCCTAGTTCCGCCTCCCTCTCTCTTCCCGCTCCCCTCTTCTTCCCCCCACCCTACCCCATTCAATCCCTCTTCAGAGAGGGTAAGGCCTCCCGTGGGAGTCAAGGAAAGTCTGTACCATCACTACATTGAGGCAGGACCAAGGCCCACCCCTGACACGGAATCTTAATATGTAGCTCAGATAGCCCTCTAACTCACTGTCCACTGCCTCAGCCTCTCAAGTGGTAGGATTGCAAGTAAATGCAACCATGACTGGCTAAAAATTATGTCCTTAACTCCTCTTTGAACTAAAACCCATCCTCTTTCATGATTCTGTATTTGAAAAAGCCAGTTTCCTAAGCCAGAAACCTCAAAGTTGGCCTTGGTTTAATTTCCTCAGCTCATCTCACCTGGATGTCCTTCCAATCCTATCTCCCACCTATGGTTTTTCATTCCCCCGACTGGTTTCAACTCCTGCCTTATTACCAGTGTCTCCTGCCCAGACAAAGCTACAGCTTCCTATTGGTGGCTTTCTGTCAGTTCTGCGGGCAGTGTCTCCGCATGATCTAGTGCCCCACACTGATTTTCTCTCTCCATCCAGACACTCCCCACCCGCTTCCTTTCAGCTTCTCAAGCATGCCATGTACTCCTTAATCGGAAGATGTTTATAATCCAGATTCTTTTGGCCTGGAACTCCTTCTGCTTTTTCTAAAAGTCTTACCGTTTAGTTCTCAGTTTACACATTGCTTACCTAATGTCTGGTGTCCCTTTGTTGGATAGCATTCCTCTCTGCACTGAAAGCACTTTGTTAACCCCATCCTGCTCCCCCACCACCAGTCCTCCTGGGATGTAGTGGTTGCTTTTCCCTTAGTGGTCTATAATTGCCCAGAAAGCATGGTTTTTACTTGTGATTTTCATTAAGCTATTCTACAGTCATTATCATATAGTAACATTTCCATAGGACACATTCAATTGAACTGAGAAGACAATGTGGTAAGAAGAGAAATGGTGGCTATCTCATGGGTGGGAGGACTCTGGGAGAAGAGGGAGATGTAAGAGGATTCTGTAATGGAAACAAATGGAGAAGACTTCTTGGCGGTGCAAGAGAAATGTCTACAGATATCTCTGAGAGACAGGAGAGTATTATGGTGTTTGGGGACATGGCTATGAAGATCTCGGCAGAGAGGTGTGGAGTAGACAGTTGTACTGCACTGGTACATGGACTTTGAGAAGAAAGGAGAGGCGGGATGGAAATCTCACAAGGTCCCACCCCTAAATAAAGAGCTATATGCAGTTAAAGACTGCTTAGAGATGGAGAATCAGTCTTCTCTTGGGAATTCATCCACAAGTTTTTACTCTAGACTTTTACTCTAGCTTTTTCTCTGTGCCTTTGGAGAGTTCCAAGGCCAGTAGCTAGGGTTCACATTGGCAAGGTTACCATGCTATCATCCATCTGCATCAAATTGTAGAATAAGGAACATGCGATTGAGGCATCTTGAAAGGCCAAGTTTGTGTTCCTCAGCTGCCAGGTGATCCACATCTCAGAATAATGGGGTTTCACTAAGTTTAATGCAGATGAATTTAGAGACATGTTAGCCGAAAGGTAACTCATCTCCAGTGGCTACCGATGGTACTACTGATCCCTATAACTACACGAATGAAACTCAAATGTATTTTTCCAGGTCAAAGAAGTCAGACTCCAAAAGATGCTTGCAGCATAATTCCATTTGTGTGGCCTTCTCAGAATGACAAGATTATAGGGATGAAGAGGAGATCATTGGTTGTATGGCACAGGAATGGGAAAGAGTTGAAGTGATATGTATAGGAAGTTAATTTGGTTATTGGACCTCTAACTGTTGCTGCAACAATTCTACTATGCATTTGTGGATCCAGGCGTAGTGGTGCGTTCATGTAATCCTAGCTCTTGGATGCTGGAAGCAGGAAGATTCAGTTCATCCCCATTGACATAGTGAGCTCAAGACCAGTCTAGACTTCATGAGAGCCTGTCTCAAAACACAAACTTCATAGAGATGAATACCAAGAAGAGTGAATTATGTGTATCCTTGCATATTATAAATCTATTATACGAAAACCAGCATATATTCATGAAAGAGTAATTATATTTTCCAAGACGGAAAAAGGCATTATATTACACGATTGTGAATTGGTTGGATGAAGGGCAGCTAGATTCTAAGCTTGGCTCCTACACTCAAACAGTTGCTGTATGTTGTTTGGGGCTGGAGTATAGAGTGAAAATCAAGCCTTACAAGGATAGGTAGTTGGCCAAATGAAGCCTTTTAAACCTTTCCAGGAACAATTCTAGGATTGACCTACAAATGACTCTTAACTGGAGAATTTCCTACCTTTGAGAATAGATATTTATACTGAAATATTCTTACAATTGCATTAGTTATGGGACAATAGAAATTATCTAATTGTAAGTTCACTTGAAAGAGGTTTTCCAGTAGCAGACAAGGAAGTCATAGGTCTTTGGAAGTGAGAAGTATTTAATGTGTCCTTGATGGTTTCATATTACAGGGGCTACAGGAGAAGAAATGTGTGTAGTCTTTAGATATTGAGAACTGCCTTTGTGTGACAGCCAGCAAGGCCACAGGGACCTCAAACCATACTCACAAGAAAGTGGATTCTGATAACACCCTTGGAAGGGAATGTTTCATCAGATTCTCCTGATAAGAGCCCAGCCCTGTTGATATGACTTCAGCATTGGTAAGACCCTAAGCAAAGAACACAAATGAACCCATCTGGACTTCTGACCTACGTCACTGTGAGATAATGAGTGCTGTATTAAGTTGTTAAGTTTGTTGTAATTAGTTATGGCAGCAATAGAAAATGAATTGTGTGGAATTCTTTATGATAACTAAACTTCGCAAGTGGTAGTTTCTTAATATTTATTTGCAGTGTTGAAACTAAAACCCTATCAAGGCACCTTTTGTACTCTGTTACATTAAAATCCATTGGTTTATCTTGTACTTTGAATGGATCAATTATCCATGCATGGTTTTTAGAACATCATACATTAGTCATTAGAAAAATACCAGTTAACTTGGTTACAGAGATCTTCTGGTTGTTGACTCATTCTTGACTACACAATATAAACAGCTTTTGCTCACCTAATATCACTACTAATCTTGCCATAAAGGTCTTTAAAGGTATAAGGAAGTTCTCAAGCTCCCAGTGTGAGATAGGGGTTTTCAGATGTGTATATTTTACCTGAAAACTTAAAATGTATGATTGACAGCAAATACCTTTAGTTGTTTTCCTTATGGTGACAGGATCACTTTGTTGATTTTCAATAAAACACTAGGCAAATACTCAAAAACTACAGCCTACTATTGATTTCAAGTAAAGAAAATGCTCCATTAAAAGTTGGATAGTGCTAATTAAAAAGAGAGGGGTGATGGAAGTTTGCCAGGTTGGCTTTCAGTTAGTTGCCCAAATGTTGCTCACGACAAGTCATCATACTTCAGTGCGAGGTGGAAATATTCCTTTCCTACTTATACACACACACACACACACACACACACACACATACACACACACATACACACACGCGCATGTGCACACACACACTATGAAAAAGATATATCTTAAAAATCATTTATTGTTATTGTAAGTGTGTGCAAGGATGTGTGTACCATGGTGCATATGTGGAGGCCAGAAGAGAACCTTGTGGAGGTCTTGCTTTGTTTTGGTTAGGTTTTGTAATTCTTCACTTCCAACTGTGTGCTGGATCAAGATCGCTAAGTCAGGTCACCAGGTGTGTGAAGCAAGTACCTTTACCTACTGAGCTGTTTCTCTTTCTTCTATCTCCATTAGTTTTGCTTGTTTTAAGAGGTGGGATCTTTCTTCCTCTCTGACTTTCTTTCTTCTTTCCTTCTTTCTTCCTTTCCTTCCTTCTTTTGTGCATTTCTATTTTTTCCAGTTTTATTATTTGCCCATAGTGGGCAGAGAAGACACATTTTAAGTCGACAACCACAGGAGGAGTCTGTACAAGATAATGTGTATTTAATATCATATGCCTCGTCTTTCCTGTTCTTTTCCTTGTTTTAACTTGCTCTGTATTTACTCTTTGTGTCTTTCACATCATGCATCTCTAACCCATTCACTTTCTGCGGAGCCCCAGAGCCCATGTTGTATATTTGTTTTAAGAGATCAGGCTAGCTTCAGTTCACAATCCTTCCAAATCCACTTCCTAAAGCAGTGGACTACTACACCTGGCTGAAATGCAGTAATTTGGATCATTTCGTCAAGATGTTCTGGTGGCAGTTCCTCTATCAGGAGTAAGTGCATTGGTTATGAAGACTGAGTAAGAACACTGTCTTCCTCCATGCTGAGGCAATGGAACTTTTACCACACCCCATTATTGATTTTGCTCTTGACAGAAAAAGGCAACTAGTATCTGAGCATTACAAAGGTCCATTGAACACCTTCAGAATCTTAGGGGCCCCCCCTTTTTATTTTTGGACTGCACTTTCAGGGCTGTTGGTCTAAGCCAGGGCTAGGAGGTGTGGGAAGAACGGTTTAAAATGGCTGGCTATAAGGAAATGAGGAAAATTTTTCTAGGTTCATTCGCCCAAGTACTTACACTCTTCTTAGTTCCTACTTCCAACATCCCTTGTGTCTGAAGACAATAGTTGCTCTCCACGGCTGTCGACATTCTGAGATCTTACATGTTCTGTATCAAATGCCCAAAAAGGCAACAGAGCATCCTGGCCTGGCCTGGGCACTGCCATAGCTGTTTGCTAGCCCACCCTGGTTCCCTGTGGCTCTGCTAGTCTAGAGCTGTTTGTCTCTCGGCCCAAATGCCCTGTGTCAAACACCATTCCACTCACAATGAACGAGCACCTGCTGTGGAAACAGTCCAGTGCCAGGTGCTAATGGGAGGGAGAAAGCATCACTTAGCCATTGACTTTTGTGTAACACCTACATAAAGAGGCTTACTTCACAAGTGCAGAGGAGACTGAAGGGAAAGGGGAGTATCCCTTCATGGGAGGGGACTTCAGATGAGGGGCCTCTGGGGGAAGACAGACACCAGTGCAGCTTGAAGGCTCCCTGGAATTCATGTGGGTTTATGGAGGAGTTCATAGAAGACATCAGTTTCTTGTTATACAGGTGAGGGAGACATTTAAGACTGTGGAGCAATAGTACTAATCAGAGTGATGGGAGTGATGCGGAAGCTGTGCGGAGTTGGGGGTCAGACCGAAAGTGTGAGAACAAATCGTGGGTACCCGTTCTCTTCTTGCCAGGCATGAGTTGCTACTACATGTGGGTGAGCAGGATGGAAGCCAAATCTGGCCCAATATGTAGAAAAACCCCAAAGATGTGAGAAGCCAAAAGACCTAAAAGCAACGTATCTGCCGTATCTCATTTCTTCTTCCGCTAGCCCTCTGAGACGGGCCTTGGCATTTTCATCTGCAGGAACTTGAGACCCAGACAAATGCATTAACTTACTCAAATTCACCCAGGTGGTAATCTACAGGGAAATTCTTCCAACATAGGAATTTCTGTCTCCACCGTCTAAGTTCTAAGTAACCACAGTGATGGAGAGAAATGGAATGATATAAAAGGGGAAGATTCAGAGTATACCAAGTGCTAGCTACACATCAGGCTCTGAAGAAAATCTATGTGCTCCTCTGTTCAGGCTTGTCTATAGGCTTCTGAGGTAGAGATCATTGTTACCCTCACATCCAAGTCTAACTAGAGAGCTGAGACTTCCTGCTTGAAGGTTTCCTGCAGAAACACAGGCAGAAGATGATTGGGGCCTGAAACCAAATGACCACCATGTCACTCAACAGCCTCTTGACCCTTAGCCAATCAGGCATTCTGTGCTTCCATTTTCTGCTCATCTTTGAGTGGGAACAATAAGATTTGTGGAAGGAGTCAATGAAATAAGATAATAAAGTGCTTAACACACTGCTTGAGAAACACTATTAATAATTTTGTTATTGCCGTTTTATTAGTTGGCCAGAATCTGCCTTCCAGGAAGGCATCTGTCAGTGGCTACCAGGGTATGGAAATTTAGAAGACAAGAAAAAAAAAGAGTGTACTGGGTTAGAGAGATGACTCAGCAGTGAACAGCACTGGCTGCTCTTCCAGAGAACCCTGGTCCAATTCGCAGCCCCCACATGGCAGCTCACAACTGTCTGTAACTCCAGTTCCAGGGCATCTGACACCCTCTCACAGACATACACACAGGCAAAACCCCAATGCATATAAAGCAAAAATAAATAAGCCTTTAAAAAGGGGTGTACCACAGGAAATTCAGCCCGGTCTTCAGAAGCCTCATGCTAGTGACGGAAAGAAGGTGGGATCAGAAGGGTAGGATGGGGTGGCTGCGATGGAAGAGGCAGGCCTAGACCTGGCCTGTCAAAGTGCAGGAGGGAAAGAGCCCTGGCAGGAGTGACCTTAGCAGGCCCTCTCCACTCTAGCCTCCTCCTTCCCCTGTAGTTTTGTTTGTCTAGGCCTCCACAGTCCAAACGAGGAGCAAATGGGGAGCTACAAGAGGCTCTGCTAAGAGAGTGACACCACAGGGGCCATACCCCTGACTCAGATGGTGGCCAGGCCGCTGGCACGGGCTGCAGAAGGAGAGCTGTGTAGTAACAAACTGTTCTCCAGAGGGAACTCCTTGTCCCAGCAACCTGAGGTACTGGCTCCAAGACTTGGCACATTTGGGACATTTGGACCTGAGGGCAGAGGCCCCAGGGACCTTTTGCTATCTGTGCTTTGGGAGAAGACCTTCTTTTCTCATCTTCCTGAGCAGTTCCTGCCTGTCTTGTTCCATGTCTCCGCCACTGGGCATCCAGGTTTTGTATCCTTGGCCCAGGGTGCTGATTCATGAAGCAGACACTGCAGAGAACGAATAAGATGCATTTCCCAGGCATGAGAGGACACTGGTTATGGGGACTTTCAGGGGCTGCATTATACATGCCCGCTGGCTGAGGCGTTCCCGGCATCCTTGGTAGCTCCCTTTCTGCCCTGGCTTCCGGTTGCAACACCGCAGGGTAGTGTTGAGCAAAGGGACTGAGTTCACACCCCAGCTTTGTCACTTTGAGCTCTTTGACCTCGGACAAATGTCTGATCTCACCTGCAGAATGAAGTCTTTAGTAATCTCTTTCTTCTAAATGTGCTTGTGAGGCTAAACTAAGCCCCATAAACTGCTTGAGGCTTTGCCTAGCCCATCAAAGTTTAACCAATGTTCCCTGCTCTTAGTGTCTGCTTTGTACGACTTCTCCCTGCCAACATCACGTCCCCTTCTTGATGCACCCTTAAACGCAGTGCAGTTCACTGGCTCCCTCACCCAATAGCTTTTCTGGAATTGACAATTCTATTGTTACGAGCAAAGGACTGTGTGAATAAAATGAACTACAGAATAACGTCTCCATTAAATACTTTAATGCTATCATTTCTTTTTTAACCTGTTTTTTAATTTAAATTAGAAACAAGCTTGCTTCACATGTCAATCCCAGCTCCTTCTCAATCCCCTCCTCCCCCACCCCAAATACCCCCAACCACCCACCCAATCCCAAATCCACTCTCCAGGGAGGGTGAGGCCCTTCATGGAGGAATCTCCAAAGTCTGTCATATTGTCCCAGGGCAGGGACTAGGCTCTTCCCCATGTGTCCAGGCTGAGAGAGCATCCCTCCATATGGAATGGGCTCCCAAAATCCATTTGGATGACAGGGATAAATATTGATTTATTGCCCAAG